GTGAGTATATAATTGATTCTCGAGAATGTAATATTTTAAATTCGTATAGACAAGTATTTTATACGTAGAAATTATTTAGGATGAATCTGTATACCAGGAAGTCAGGTGGGAACGCTTTCATCCTTTCAAGTTTTCGCACTTTTTTTTTGCAATTAAAACTTTCTTCAATATGGAAGAGTCGATTTAATTTGATTTGAAATATTTCATCGGTTCTCTCAGCAATTCAGATGAAAGTGTTTATCAAAATTCTTTCAAGTATTGATTTATGGAGTGAAATAAAGAAAAGGAGAGAAATTAATAACAAATGGAATGAGTTTATAAATTAAAATATCTGAAGAAGTAAAATTAATACTTCATTTAACTTTTATTTATAATATAAAATATTAATTTAACAAAATAGTAACATTAATATTATATTAATAAATTATTATTATTATTATTATTATTATTATTAATAATATTAATACCATTATTATTGTCAATAATATTATTAATTTAAATTAATACTTATTTGTAATGAATACAAAATCTTGAATAAGGAATATAATAGCAATTTTACGTTTGTTTTGTATATTTTTTTCCGGTAGAAAAAAATCGCTGTGAAAAATTGTAATCTCTATGGGAGTTATAAGATCGATTTAGACGGTGATTGCGATAAGGTTCAAAAAGGTCGTGAAATATATTGCTTCTGGATAGAGATTCTCGAATCTTATCAATTATTCTTCTTAACTCGTTTTGGTTCGTATAATAACGCCATTGTGAATGCTGTGGTGTTGCATCTATCTTATAAATGTGGGTGTAACTACCTCAGAATTTTCCAGTCAATTCTTACACGCAATTCACAGCAATAATTTAAAGGACCAAAATCAATTTATATTAAAACTTATAAAAGAATTCCAAATAGAAAAAATAAATTGTATAATATATTTCCGTATTTTCCTCCTCTTGGGGATAAATTGGTTGAATTCCTGTGAGAATTTTTTTCTTCTTTTTGTCCCTATATGACTAAATATTTACTTACAATAATTACATAACTGGGAGGTATCGTAAGTGCTTAATTATGTTGTATCATAATTTAAATGCAGATGTAAAGATAAACATTGGGATGTAAATGATTCACCCTTGGCAAAAATTATCTATTAAATAATAATATAATAATAATAATGAAAAAAAAAAAATGATTCTTGATTGGATAATTTCCATACTATAGTTGATTAGAGGTTGTGCGGAGAAATTGCCTGTCGGTTGAATTTTCCAAACTGGACCAACAAGCTCTAAGGCCTGCTATTACTGAATACATATTCTTGGGCATATTATAGTTCCTAGCACAAAGGGCGTAACTTTGAGAGATTCAAGATATATACAGTCTAGGATAGTTCTTCCTTACGTTGAAAATTTCTCCTTTTTTACATTTGCATTTATAAATCTTTCTCCATGTGAAAATATCGATCAATAATAAACTGACGGGTGCGAACATTATGGAACATTACAAGTTTACACAACGACAGTTATTGATTGCTTCTTTATTAACAAAAAAAAGATTCCATTTTTTGCTATGAAGAAATTCAATTTTTTAAATTATTGTTTGTTTCGATAAAAAAAAAAAAAAAAATACTTCGCTCTTTTCCTTGAGCCAAATTTTTCTTAACAACCTTCTATGGAATCTGAAGATTTTTAATAAGTCGTAATTATATTCAGGATTCAAATAGGAACTTTCGTAAATCCTATTCCTCGTGGCATGTAATTACACCTAATATTCTTGCGGAACTCATTTTGTAAGCGAATCCCTGTAATTGATCTTAGATATTTTACTATTTGTAAAAAGATTATTAAAAATTTTTGTGCGTTTTTTTTTAATGACAAAAACAATATTTGATAATATTATTTAATGGATACATTTATAATATACTTGTTTTCCATTTTTGCAATTTAATATTTGACACGTATATATACGTTAGTAGGTCAGTTGGATTAATGAAACGAAATTGCGCGCAAAAAATAAAAGAAAAAAAATAAATAAATAAAGGACTACAGAAAGCTGTTGAAAGCCAAGTTGTTAATTGGCGACGCCCGTGATTTTACGCAAATGAGGCTATGGCATTTATACCGTTACGGATTCTCGAGATGCTCGGTACATTCTTTACACGTTTCTTCAGATGATGCTATTTTACTATGCCTCTGGCACGATGAGCACATGTACTTTTGCATAATTCTTTTTTTTATGACTCCTAGTCACCAGTTTTGCCTCCAAAATGAGAAACTGATATAAATCATCATGGTGACCTGTTTAAATATTTCTTGCAGGAAACTTATAAATATCTTTCTCTGACGCTAATCTTTTTACTGGTTTCAAAAATTTCTTGAATTCATGCCAACAAGGTCATTGAATTATATTATAAATATTATAACATTATAATTGTTTATTATTCTTTTTTTTTAATCATCCTTTTTTATTATTATTTTTGTTATATAATTCGATAATTACAATCAAGTCATTTGATTAATTTTTTTTTCATTATTTTTCATTCACAATGAATTTTTCACACTTAACAATATCAATTTTATTTTATCTAAATTAAACACAACACGGTGGGCTTGGATTAAGTTCAACCCAAAAGTCTTTGCACATCACCGTTTTCTTTTGGAATTACTTCGGGGATGTCTTCTGATTATTTTAAGACAAAAATGAAAATAATCGGTGGAGGGAAACTGAAATTATCTTGATTTTTCATTTTTTTTTATAGGTTATTCTATGTAATTTCTTTAAAAAAAGGTTTCCTTCAATTTTTTTTCTACAAAAGTTGTATTTCGGATTCAGTAAAGAATCTCTATGATAGTTAATGAATTTAAAAAATTTGAACTATTAAATTTGTTAATAAATAATGGAAGAACATGGTTTTTCATTCGTTTTTTGAAATTAACTCGTCTTGTAATTAATTTACACCAAAATTTTTCAAAGATAATTTGAAGTACATAAGATTATCTGTAAAACTGAAAAAAGAAGACTGTTCTACCTATTACCGTTCCTTAGATATGACACGTTGAAGTTGCTATTCAATGAAAAATTTAAACTTGGGAGCTCATTATTCGATGAATTCTTTTATTTAATATCCTAATATAACAATTATAATAAAACATAATTAAGAGGACTCTTTTTCGAATAATTTGCGATAGATAAAATTAATTTATCTTCAGTAGTATAAATTATTATTATTATTATTATTATTCATCGAATAATGAGCTCCCAAGTTTAAATTTTTCATTGAATAGCAACTTCAACGTGTCATATCTAAGGAACGGTAATAGGTAGAACAGTCTTCTTTTTTCAGTTTTACAGATAATCTTATGTACTTCAAATTATCTTTGAAAAATTTTGGTGTAAATTAATTACAAGACGAGTTAATTTCAAAAAACGAATGAAAAACCATGTTCTTCCATTATTTATTAACAAATTTAATAGTTCAAATTTTTTAAATTCATTAACTATCATAGAGATTCTTTACTGAATCCGAAATACAACTTTTGTAGAAAAAAAATTGAAGGAAACCTTTTTTTAAAGAAATTACATAGAATAACCTATAAAAAAAAATGAAAAATCAAGATAATTTCAGTTTCCCTCCACCGATTATTTTCATTTTTGTCTTAAAATAATCAGAAGACATCCCCGAAGTAATTCCAAAAGAAAACGGTGATGTGCAAAGACTTTTGGGTTGAACTTAATCCAAGCCCACCGTGACAATTCTTTTTTCTCAAGTTTTAAATAATTTATTAGAAGCATTCTTACACAAGTTCCTGATGAAAGTTTCTGATAGGAAAATTTCTAATCACCTGAATTCATTTTGCTACTGCTTTGAAAAAGACAAATATAAAAAAACTAAGTTAATTTTTTACATTTTGAATTTAAAAAATTTAATTTTTCAAAAATGATTAAAATTAAAAGATATGTATGAAAAATCAAATATGATGAGGGGAGAGAAGTTGTTAAGGTAACGTCCTTGAAATATTTTCTGAAACATCACGTTTGCTTGAAGGAATAGGTTTTTAGGAGAAAGCAGTCGTGCTTGACTACTTCAATGATGTTCCCCGCGGTTTGCTCGCGGAACGCATAATTCTCAAATCCGCGCATTACGATCGACGACTCTCTCAACGGTGTACGTTCACTCTCACACCTTGACCTGTTTCAACCCTGAACCTTCTTCAAACGTGAACCTTTGACCGTGAACTTCAATTCAAAATGTCGTATTTACGTCACTTGCCAGATACTATAAAATTAGTTTCATAATCATGAATATTCCCTCGAGGATTGACTTGTCAAAATTTGACACATCGAGCAAAAACCTTCCAATTTACTTTAAAACCGGTTTAAACGACGTCTCAATTATTTATCAGGTCGTTAGCCTTTTCTTCATCCGTAAACATTGTTTCATCGAACTTTTGATACAGTTTTTTTTTTTTTAAATGAGAAATACAAATTTCATTTAAGATTGTTTGCACCTTCTAAAATCTATTCTTAGTTAAAAATTATTTTTTATAAATTCTTTAATTATTAATACTTTGAACAGAATTTAATACTTGTTCAATTCAGTTTCTCATTGTTATAATAATAATTAATAAAAACAGCGATTATCAATTAATTTTATAAATTCTAATAGTATCTGTTACTTTCTAATTGTCTCTTCACTATACCAACTATAGACAGTTAGTGCTATTTATTGTCATTTTACAATTATAATCCGTATAATGATCAATTAAGGAAGTATTGAGATGCAACATTGTATAGAAACTATCTATTTAGAAAAGAATTGAAGGTATATAAGTGAAAGCACAAGGACGATTTGAAATCAATTTTACAAATGTAATTGCAATTATCAAATCCCAATGATTGGGTACATTCGTGATTTTACTTTCATAAGAATGATGAGTGGTCGCTTTTATGTAAATTCATCGTAACTCGTAATTAAATTAATTAAAATTATTTAAAAATAAAAGAAATAACTCACCAGCTGATAGTTGATTGGCTGAGAGTGGATCATCTTCTCCGGGCTGAAGACGTACTTCCATTTCCCGAAGACGAGAATGAAGATCTCTCGTGTGTAGAAAGAGAAATAGAGTTGTTGACAAGGCCACTAACGCCACAAGCTCACTGGTCCTTTAACAAACAATTGTTAATTGTTAACTGATAACGTGTTAGGATATATTTATTGTTTTCGTTTATTTTTACTATTTTATAAAAGTATTTTCAAATATTAGTAGTTTCTTTAGTGGGTTTTCTAAGCTTTGGCAGTTCTTTCTTGGAATTTACAAACATTGGCGTTTGTTAAATAGTATTAGCAAATATATAGGCAGCTTCTTTTAGTGGATTTTACAAAGTTTGGAAGTTCTAATTGTATTTCTAAACATCGGAAACTTCTTCAGTGGTATTAACAAATATAGGCAACTTCTTTAGTGGATTTTTTAAACTATGGAAGTTCTTTTGTATTTCCAAACATTGGAAACTTCTTTAGTGGTATTAACAAATACAGGCAGCTTCTTTAGTGGATTTTACAAAGTTGGGAAGTTCTTTTAATTGAATGTCAAAAATTTGGCGTTTCTTAAATCGTATTAGCAAATATAGGCAACTTCTGTAGTGGATTTTTCAAACTTTGGAAGTTCTTTTAATTGTGTTTCCAAACATTGTCAAGTTCTTTAATAGTACTAATAAATACAGGCAGCTTCTTTAGTGGATTTTCTGAACTTCGGCAGCTCTTTTATGGAATTTTCAAACATTGGTATTTCTTAAACAGTATTAGCTAATATAGGCAACTTCTTTAGTGGATTTTTTAAACTATGGAAGTTTCTTTGTATTTCCAAACATTCGCAACTTCTTTAATGGTATTAGCAAATATAGACAGCGGCTTTAATAGTATTTCCAATAATTGGTAGCTTTTTTAACTGATTTCTCAATGTGTAGAAGCTTCTGTAATGGTATTTCCAAACATTAGTAACTTCTGTAATGGACTTTCTAAACATTTGTAGTTGTATTTCCAATTATTATCAACTTCTTTAATAAAATTTACAAATATTGTCATCTTTTTTCAGCATATTTCCATAGCCAATTGTATCTTACATGATCAATTATACCCTAGAAATATTTGAACCAAATAATCCTTTTCAATGTACACTTTAAAGATCATATATCTCGGAAATCTCGATCAGATCATGAATAATTAATTTCAAAGAACAATTCCCAAAGTGTTTAAGGATTGTCCGCATAAATTCTTTGGCGGTGTGCGGGTCAACATAAATATTTAAATTGAATGTCGCCTCTAAAGACGATATCTCCCAAGTACATGGAATCCCGATACGAGGAGAACACATTGTGGGTTCACAGAATGCTCGGTACGCATGGGGTTTCACGATTATTCTTTCCCATTACATATATGTGTGTGTATGGAGTAGTTAGCTATATATGTACGGCAATGAGTATTATGTGTATATTATACTATTCACGCGAATTGTATATATGAGGTCTATGTCGCCTGTGCGTGTTACGGTATTGTTGAAATATACCGTTTTCTTTTACTTTGTGTCGTTGGCATTATGTACAAAAGGATATGAACCTTACCGTTTTCTAAATGATCACTATACATGTCTTCCGTCCATGTGATTCAGAGCAACCCTAATTTTCTGAAGAGTAACTTATGTAACTACTCATGGACACGCGCTCATGATTTTCATCGTCATTTATATACCATACGTTCAATTTCTTTTTTTTTCAAGAATTCAATTTAAACTGGGTCAATATACAAAAGCAATTTTCGAAAATAAACGATTGAATGATTTTTACCGTTTCATCACGCTCTTGAGAAAAATAAGGATATATGTATTCGTTCTGCGTATTAAAAGTGGGATACTGACATGATTTTGTCAGACGATTCGCAAAGAAGATTGAAATCTTAATAAGAAATACTATTTTTAGTAGAAGTTTTAATCGAATGCGTATTATTTTGTAGAAAGTTCTTTAAACAAAAGCATAGGCAAAATTGATTGGAACAATTATATAATTAGACGCATTGGTTGATGAAACGAGGGTCAATTATTAGTATTTATTTTGTTCTAGTTTGAGAAAATTGAAAAATATTTATTATTGAATAGATTTATTTATTTTTTAATTTTCTAATACATAAATATTAATAAATTGATAGTAATAAATCTTGTCATATCTTTAAAGGATATTAGAAGGATTGTTTAATTTCATTACAAAATATATTAGCAAAGAAGCGATTTAGAATAAGTTATTGTACAGTCATATATATCGAGGCAATTCAAAAGCAAATATTCTTTAAGTGCTAATTAGACCATTAAATGTAGAAGAACGAAAGTTTCAGATCATGTAAGAAGTATATGAAGGGATTACGTACAGATGAAAGGCATATAATAAGTTTTCATTTTTCTCTGCCTCCGCATCTAATCAGTATAATAATTAGAAGTTAAAATGGTTGCACACACACACACTTCAAAAGAAATGAAATGGGGGCCATCGTTGAAGAATATGTTTATTATCTTGACATGCCCTGTTTCATAAAATAATGACAGACAACACATCAAAATTTAAAGAAGACATTAAACCAAGCATTTAGTCTATATGCATTTAAATATTTAACGATCGTTATTTTTCTTCTTCTATTTTTAAACAATACAGTGTTATTGTGAAAAAATATTGTTTTAAAATTTAAAAAAAAAATGTTATCTTATTTATAAAAGTAGAACGAATAAGTTTTCTTGTTGGCAAAGTTTCTGATCTTTATCGTGTCTAGCTGTAAAAAAAAGTTGACACGGTTAAATAAGAAACAAAAAGTAACATATATAATATTTTGAATAATTGTTTTTAATAAAGTTTGGAAATTTTGAGAAATTTATTCCTTGATTGTTTGCGATGGAAGTTGTGATTGCTTTACTGTTTTCCCCGCATATAAATATTGTAAATAGAGAAACGTGTGTAAAAGTTGATATAATAGCGATTCCTGATTCTCGTTCGTGTAAATGTAAATATATATCTAATGCGTATACACACACCATATAGTGACGTTAAATTCGTTTCATATAAACTCGCAATGAATATCAAAGCGATAGCATTCAGGGATGAAATAAGGACACGACGCTATAAAGATTTCATCTTATTGAACGGGATTTTAGATGAATCATTGCGATATATTGCATAGGAAAAATATAGTGCGCACAAAACCATCAGTGAATAAAAGGGTTCCGCAATTCATTTTGATGTGGAAAGAAAAGCGAGATTAATTGCTACACAATGCGTGACTCTTTATTGCTGTGAAAAGTTTTATTATATTTATATGTATATAAAATGAGGTTGCTCTATAAACATTAAGATATAATACTTTCTTTTATGTAATTGATATCTTTTAAAAACTCTTAAACGAAAGCATCAGAAAGAAATTAAAAAAAAAATTCTGTGGATTATAATTGTTGCAATTAAAGGGTTTTCCTTTAATTCACATGAAATTTCATTCTAATTCCGTGAATAGACGATTCAGGTGTCATTAAATGACTTTCATTTCGCTTCATTTTTTCAGTGCTCTTTGTATATATAGAACAATTTTAAATGTCACTGTCAAAATTCTTTTTAATATTAAAAAATCTGTTTTAAAAATATTTAAAGAAATAGTTTTGATAATTATATTCCATTAATATTTTGTATAGTTTTTCTGGCTTTTTTTATGAAAGGAATTGAAACACAATTTTTGGAAAATTTTAAATAATTTTGGCATAAATTGGAAAAATAATAAAATAATAAAAATGTTAAAACAACATTGCTTTTATTTTTTTAACGATAAGAAATTGCTACGGGACTATCAATCATTCCATTCATTAATTATACTTTAAAATAGTAAATTCATTAATCATAGATGTTTCAATCTTGTTAACGCAGAAAAACATATAAAGCATTTTTGGTTTGCATCAAAAATTTTTAATTGAAAAAAAATTTTAATTTTTTTGTCGAGCTAACAAAGCTGGTTGAATTTTGATTGAGATAACAATAAATTTTGTTAAGTTGCAAATATAAAAAAAATGTTCTATATTATAATTAATAATTATTATTTTGATGCGGAAACACAAAATAATTATTATTTCATTAGAGTAATAGATACTTTATGGTATAATAATTAGCAGTTAGTTAGTAATTCACAGTTGAGTTCCATTAACTCGAAAATATACTAATTTTTGAATTATTGTAAAATTAAATTTTATTTTTTTCAATTCTTAGCACAAACGATTAATTACAAAAAAAAATATTATTCCATTCATCTTTTACTTGCTATATTCATCATATTATTATATATATCCAATTAAAACGTAAAATCCACTTATCATTTGCAATTTATTTTAATCTCCTCCTTATCTCGAACACTCAATTTTTCACCAAAGTATTACACGCAATTATATTTTCAATTAAATTTTACAATCTTAACAGTACAAACATTTACAGTGAAGATTAAGATCAATAATTTTCAATTGAATTTGCATTACTATTGACTCTCAATAAAAACAATAATGAAAAAAAAATGATTGCAAAGCAGAAATTTATGATTGTTCATCAATGATATAAGATTTATAGTATAGGAGTTTATAAATTAACAATACTTTCACTAATCAAAAAAATCGTTCAAAAAAAAATTGACATTCGTAATCATTCATACTCATGAAAGCAGTAGTTCATTCACTGATTGTTTTAGTATGTTAAACTAATTATCAGTGGAAAATTTACAATTTAACGTTAATTTATCACCTGGAGACCTCCTGGAGGGAGATGTAATAATTTTATAGCAAATGACTCTTGTTAATTAATCAGATTTTAATTTTAACATGATGTAAGATAGTATATAAAAATAAAATTGTAATTTATGATAGTTTGGTTATATCCTCATATAATGGATACATCAATATAATATTGACCTCGCCTTGCATTTTCTCAAAGGAATCTTACGAAAGCAATCTTTACTTGCGCGGGGTGTATAGATTGTATGAGAGACCGGAAGTATGTCGCATGTTCGATTCACAGATATTCTATTGTCCTGTAATATCATTTCTCTCCTCTTTATATATAGTGTCCTCCACCTCCTCCTCTTCGTTGTGCTGAGTCTAAGCAACAGGTCACATTCTCAACGATTGCATGCATTGTTAAAGATCGTGCGAGAGATATGTCGCGAAAACTATTCATATTATGAGCTTTTCAATGCAAAAAAAATAAATAATGACCATGAAATGTTCTTTTTTTCCGATCCTTTTACAAAGTATTTGCGCACCCATGTATTATCATTGTCAAGATCCAACTTTAATTCCAATGGGAACCAATAATAGACGTGTTCGATCCTCATCTTTAATTCACACAAACTCATTTCCATAGAGAAAAAACTTTTCTACACCTAAAGCCATTTAATTCTCATTAAATCGCATCGAATGAGAATTTCATTAAGGTATACATACTACTAAAAGGGGAAATCTTATTTTGAGATAATAAAATAGTCTTGAAACTAAACTAAATCTTCTAATTCTTTTAATTTTGATTCTAAAGTTTCTAATCTGGATTTTTTTTAGTATAATTAGTAGCTTCTTTTATAAAATTTGATCCACTAGTTAATAACATCTAGAATTTTATGGGAATGCAAGAATTTTCCCTAACAATAAATAATTAAAATATTAAAGAATTTTATTATTTATTTATTATTATTTTTCTGTAAACGAATTTTTCTTTAACAACATTTTTAGGTATCGAATTTTTATTTGACAAAACTTTTATTTCACAAAATTCGGATTTTTAAATGACAGAAATTCCAATTCACCGAATCTTCATTTGTCCGAATTTTTATTTGCACGAATTGTTATTCAATGGAATTCTTAAAAGGCCGAATTTTCATTTGTCCGAAACTGCAAATGTCAGATAAACAATCGATTTTGGCGCATATTTTAAAATTAACTAAGTCAAATTTTTTTGATAATTTCTAATTGGTTAATTTTTAAATTTCGCGCCTTAATTTTTCTGTCGATTGTTTTTCGGTCATTTGCAGGTTCGGGCAAATTGGAAATTTGACGTTTAAAAAATTCTATCAAATAACAATTTGTGTACAGAGAAAAATGGAAAAACGAATAAAGCAACTTTTACTACTTTAAAAGTAAAATTAGAATTATCCGCAGTTTCTGCGCATTTCTGGCAATTTTTACTCCAGAAATAGTAAAATTTACTATCTCCGGAATAAGTTTTTCTATTTTCAGTGTAAATTTTACTATTTTTGGAGTAAAAATTTACAGAAATGCACAGGAACTGTATCACAGAAAAAACGCTGGATAAATTTTGTTGCGAATAATTTTAACCAATGCTAATTCACATAGACGGTGGCGCCCCCAACTGGGATAAAATTTATGCAGTTAATTTTTCTACCGATTTTGGGGTTAAAATTCTACTTTTTTTTAGTGTGGTTGCAGACAGTTTCGATTTTACTTTTAAAGTAGTAAAAGTTACTTTATTCGTTTTTCCATTTTTCTCCGTGTATAAATGAAAATTCGGACAAATGAAGATTCGGTGAATTAGAAATCCTGTAATATAAAAATTCGAAATACTTAAAGTTCCATTGAATAAGAATTTTGCTAAATTATAATATTTGGTTAAATTTGGAATTTTGTAAAAAAGAGTTAGATAAATTCTAACTAATGATTTTTATGAGTTACACCCCAAAAAAGCTGTTAGGTAAAAATTGGTTTAAAAAGAAATTCTATTAATTGCACTGAAAAAAATTTATTTAATTTAAGGAATCGGTTACTTATCTATTATTAAATAAATATTTACTTGAACCAAAGAATTTGTATTTGAATTCAATAATTTCTATTTTTTTAAATACAGAAATTATTGGTCCAAATGCAATTTAATTGATTCAAATAAAAATTATTTGGTTCAAGTAAATATTTATTTGGTACTAGTCAAGTAACCGATTATTATTTAAATAAAATGATTTTTTTTCCGTGTGTTAATTTGAAAAATAATTAATAAAATTCTTTAAAATGAAAATAATATTTTTACGAAAAATTCATTCGCCTTATTTTTATATGACTATTTTGAAATTGATATGACAGATTTACGATTTGTCGTTGAAATTGGAGAAATTCTATATATTTTACTTTCGAAATGAAGAAAGGTCCACACGACACATAGAGGAAAATTTTCATTGTTTTCTATAACGAGAATAAGTAGCGATACAATCAAGAGAGTGAAAGAATGTATTCAATGTCACTGATCTTTTGCCTCTTGGTATTATACATATATGCGTATATATACATAAAAAGGTTATACATAATAAGAGAAGCGGATGAACAAGTAAAAACGGATGGACCCGCGGCATCTGAAAGATGTATATATAGGAAGGACGCGTTCTTGAGGGGGGCACTTATATGGAATACAGGAAGAAGTACACCGAGCGGTGGAAGCTTGTTGAAGTGTTTACGACATGTGGTGATTCTAGTAATGGAAGTCAAAGTACCTCTGTACCTTGATTATTGCTTTGAGTGATACAAGCTCAGTTTATACATATACATATATAGGGATGATGTTTCTTTAGTATTCTCATATATGTATATTTATATAAAAGGGATTCTGTATAGTTGTAGGCGTTTATCTAGCGGTCCAAAGCCACCACATCCAGTTTGCTGCTTGTATAAATTCAAAAATTTTCTCTCTCTCTCTCTCTATGTTTGCGGTTTGTTTATATGCAAGTTTTTCCCATCGTATGTGCATTATACATATATAACTATCGCTCGAATTAACGAGCACCCTAATCGTAAATCTTGAATTGTAATCAACTATGTATTTTCTTGACTCATAACACTATATCATCTCAACACCTTGTTCCATTTATACAAAAATCTTTTTTTTTCTCAATTCTTTTTCTTTGCAAAGAATATATGCGGGTTTAGCAAAAAGAAAAAAAAACAAGCTCTCGATAGTAATTTCATAGTAATGTTGTTTATTGGTATCGATTTTATATTGGTAATTATACAAGAAAATCTCTTCGAGACAGGAGTATTTATTGCATCTTGCTAATCGTCGTATAGTTGTCGAAAGGAAAAGTTTATATGTTGTAGGAATATAAAGATGTTATAAGCAAAATATGTTTTGAAAATATTTAATATATTTTTTAGTTTAAAAATTCAATATAGAAGAAGTTTTCTGTGGCAGCGAATTTTTTGTTACCACTTTCTATTTAACTTTGCTTGTTACACTGAAAAAAAATTTATTTGATTCAAATAATCGGTTACTTGATTATAATCAAATAAATATTCAAATAAATATTTCCTTGAACCCAATAAGTATTATTTGAATTAAATAAATTGTATTTAGACCAATTTTGTATTTGAAACAAATACCATTTAATTAACTCAAATAATAATTATTTGATACAAATAAATATTTATTTGATATACTAATAAATATATTTATTTAATAATAGTTAAGTAACCGTTTATTTGAATCAAATAAATTTTTTTCAGTGTAATAGGATATTCGTTAGCAGTAGCTAATTTATTCTTTTTCGTGTATCGATGAAAATTAAGAAAATTTTTGCTCATTTTCTATAAACAAAAAGAAAAATATTTAAAAACGGAATTTTTAAATTAAATGCATATCTATTTTAATCGTAAAAAGAAATATTGAAAACTTTCCGCTATTTTTATATGACAATATATGCAAATAAACAATAATAAGGAAAATGTAATACTTCCCTGTTATTGACTATTTATTTTATATTGAGTATAAATAGTGTTAAGGATATCCAAAATTTCTCGATATCGATTATCAGTTTATTAAAGGTAAATCAGTGTTACAGTTATAAATTTTATTGCATTAAAATTGATTGAAAAAATATTTTTCAAATTATAACTGGTTTTTTGAATTTTAGATTATTTTCCATAATTCGCGTTATTTAGAAATGTTGCAAATCAGTGAATATTTATTTAAAATATTTTCGTGAATAGTGAAGAAAAGTAAAAAAAAATTTTGTTAAACATTTCTCTAATAGATTAATTTTTTATCCTTTTTCCAATGTTATTTTTAATTAATTAATCGAAAAAAATACGAACCTTTTGGGAATGCCTAATCGCCTCTGCCTCCAAAGACCGTTGTTTTTAACGATCATCTTTCTGCTAATTTATATTTTATAACGATCACCAAACCGCACCACTGATTTTTCTTGTCGATAAAATCGTTCGAGAAAAAACAAGAACAACAATATTTGTTCAACAAGTTGAATTTCGATCTTGTAAAGATAACGTCCCACAAACACGAAGAACAAGAATTTTTTCCATCAAATTGTGAAAAAAAAAATTTTTATTTATATACAAGTTCCCCGGGATTTACTTTTGATAATTGTTCGAGTTTCGTGAAACACGCACCATCATGGGTTTATTGTCCCATCGCAAATGAAGGATATTATCGTTTTTTGTTGTCTCCCTTTTCATGATTAGTGTCATCGCCGTATATATGATGAAAAAAAAACTCACACTCGTCTCATAACTTCCTGAGAAAAATTATATATCTTCTCATATCCTTTGCAACTTCATGCCATTAGGTAACTTTTTGCCGTTTTTTTTTTAATATCTCTTATTTCTCTGTTAATTACAATTGGCAGAAAATTACTTTCTTTTATAAAATCACATTTTTTTGAAATTGTGATTCTTTTTGTTTTATACAAATTTTTTTTATCAAATTGTTTATTATCCTCTTGTCTTTTTAATTTTTTATTATTTTTTCTCCCTTATTTAATTTTATATTTTGTCCTTTTGATTTCTTTAATCAATTTTTTCCACTTTTGCTTCCTTTTGTTTTAGTTTTGAATTTTTCTCCTTTTTTCCAATTTTTATTTTTTTTTTCACCGTTTTTTATTTTTGATTTATAAAAAAATATTTTCTTTTATCACTTTATCATCAATTGTTTTGCTTCCCAGTAGAGGAATTTTCTTCTTTTAACATTGTTCCCCTTTTTTCTATTCTTCTTCTCTGGTTCATTCCTTATTCTTTTGTAATTTCTTACACTTTGAAAAATCCTGAATTTTCTTTTATAAAAATAATTTTTTTTTTAAATTGTAAAAAAAATGGTGAAAAATGAAGAAATAGAATAAATGAAAAGGTGTATTATATTGTAATTTTTTTGATAAAGAGCATTTTTGGCAATGAGTTGTCAGTCATTATTGTCTTGGAAATGTTTATATAGAAAGCGCATCCGGAGCGTCGGATGGTCAGCATGCGACTGAAGTTTTCGTGCAATGTCTGTCTCGTAGGAATACCACGTGTACGTACAATACAGGTACACAATTTTAACACGATCCACTCTACTCTACCATCACTCCGTTACTCAGAGCTATATACGCTAATGAAATTCTACTCTACATTCGTCAGCCACATTCGCGAACATTTCCCCACCCCTTTACTTTTACTCCTTCCTTCCTTCCTTTATAACTTGACTTGTGAATCTCTCTCTCTCTCTCTCTCTCTTTATATATAATAATTCCTCCTACGAACAAGTTTCATCGGGGTTGATTCCACTTTCAAATTAAGCTACTTTCTTTTCTCAAAAAATTCTTCCTTTTCATACTATATAATTTTGTGCGATTTTTGTTCGAAAATTTCATTTTTATTATAACGAAATGTACTCATTTCTGTGTGAGAAATATTCTGATATCAAAAGAAAGTATTTTTAATATAATGATTTTTTTCGTTCTCATGTATAACTGAGAATAGGGATGATTATTCCATAAAAATAATTAGACAGAATTTTTAATTCAAAAATTTTTTTTAGATAGAATTATTTCTTACACTGAAAAAAAAATTCTGGTTAGGCTATATTTAACTTTTAACATTACTTTCTAGTTATGTTAACCAGAATTCTAGTTGAATTAACTAGAATTCTCGTGAAAATAACCAGAATTCTGGTTAACCTAACCAGAATCAAAATGTTAAATATACCCTAACCAGAATTCTGGTTATTCTAACTAGAATTTTTTTTTAGTGTAGACGAAATTTTATATTTCCAATTAAGAATTAACATAATTTTTTTTAAACAAATTTTTACTTAAAAAAATTTTCAAGTACCGAACTTTTATTTGGCAGAATTTTTATTTCGCCGAATTTTATTTTTACGCAATATTTTATTCTAATGAATTCTCATTTATAATTGTTTTTCTATTTAGCATAATTCTCATTCAACAGAAATTGAAGTGATACGAATCAAAATTTTTAATTCAACGAGGGGCGTATGATAATCCTATATAAAAATAATTAGATAAAATTTATATTTCAAAGAATTTTATTAGATATAATTATTATTTTTAAGACGAATTTTAATTTTCGAATTAACATTTGACAGAATTTCTTTATAAACTTTTTAACAGAATTCTTATGTATCGAATTTTTACGGTGCAAAATTCTTAAAACGTCAAATTTTTATTTGTCCGATAATGCAAATGGCCGAATAAACAATCGCCAGAAAAATTTCTGCGTGACGTTTCGGCACCAATTAAAAATTATTAAGAAAATCGTGATTGGTGGAATTTTAAAATCCCGCCGAAATCTCTGTGTCGATTGTTTGTTCGGACATTTGCAATTTCGGACAAATAAAAATTCGGTGTTTTAAGAATACTACCAAATAAAAATTCGTTGCCTAAAAATTCTGCTAATTAAAAATTCTTTAAAAAAGAAGTTCTAACAAATGTTAATTCAAAAATTGAAAATTCGTCTGAAAAATAATTATATCTAATAAAATTGTTGAAAATGAAAATTCTGATAATCATGCGCCCCTTCGACGAATCTTGATTTATTCGAATTTTTATAATGTAATTCTTTAAAAACGACGATTTTTCATTTGTCCGAAATTGCAAATGACCGAATTACAATCAACTGAAAAATTTTGGCGCGATTTTTAAAATTGACCAATTAGAAATTATCAAGAAAATCGTGATTGGTAAATTTTTACAAACAGCGTCTAAATTGTTCTGTCGATTATTTGTTTGGTCGTTAGCAAATTCGAATAAATGAAAATTCGGCGTTTTAATTCTATCAAAATTGAATAAATGAAATAAATAAATAAATAAAAATTTGGACAAATTAAGATTCGGTGAATTGGAACTTTTAGCATTTAAAAATTCGAAGCACTTAAAATTGTATTTAATGTGAATTCTGTTAAATTAAAATTCGGCTAAATTAGAATTCTTCTAAATAAATAAAAATAAATAAAAAATAAAAATTTGTTGAAAATAAATTCTGTCAAATGATAATTCGAAAAATGAAAATTTCTCTAAAAAATAATTATATTTAATAGAATTTGTTTTTTTTAAATTGAGAGAATAAATTTTTAACTTTTTTTAAATTAAAAAATACTTTGAATGAAAAATGCCATAAGAGAGAATTTTCTTGTTCCTTGAACTTCAAAATGAGAAGATATGTGTCTTCATCAAGGTACATATAATAATAAGAGAAAATTATCCTACGCACAGTTAATTATTTTGATTCGTCCGGTGTGGTTAATGACGTAAACTATAAGCATCGTGCACATTTGCACGTTCATTCATGATTTTATTATTATACGAAAAGTAGATAATTTATCCAATAGAATTTCATCGAGACATTCCAGATAATTTCAGATAAAATTTAATTTACCTAATGTAATTTAAATAAAATTAATTTCCGTTATTTAAAAATATATATTAAAATTAGATATTATCGCGTTATCGCAATTCGGATTTATTTGAATCAAATAAAATTTGGGTAAAATTTTTTAAAGAAATTTTCTAAAACAATTATCAGAAAGAGGATTTATATACATATAAATAGAAATTGTGTGGCAATTTAAAATAATTATTAAACATTAATTTAATATTATAAATGATGGCTATAGTGTCTAGCGTTAAATGAAAACTAATTTTATAGAATGCCTTCCAAACAACACTTACCGTGTTACGCTTAATTATAAAAAGCAATATTTATACATAATATCTGCATATTTCAATGTTTTTAACGGGAATTTAATCTCTGAAAATGATTTTCTTCGAAGGCCACGGTATGCGATTTAGTAAGATTAAGAGAATTTATATTTTCTTTATGGACACTTGTATATATATATATATTTTGTAGATTATTCTTTGATTTTTTTCCACTCGAAAGAATTTTACACTATGATTCACATGAAAGAATGATTATTATTTAATACATGAAAATATGGTACACTTCCGTGCAAAAAAAAGAAAAAAAAAATTAAACCCGAGTTATTAATATGCATTCTAGGCGAAAGTTATTATCAAATTAAAATTAATGAAAAAATAAATTCACAGTTATAAGATTGTTATTTTATTTTTAAGGATACGTATATAGAAGTTTTATTAAATTCTATTTAGTAAGGGTGTCTAATTATTCCTTAAGACTTCCTTAAGAGAATATATTATATTTCATTAAACCGTATTTTATATATATATATATTTTGCGTATGAATGAACTCATTAAAAAATGTGGGCCATTCTCTAAATGCAGCAGTATATTCTTTCTAAGGCATGAAACCAATTAACGCTACACACCCGAGTAAATTAAGAATTTTTTTTTTCACTAATAGTCGCGGGAAAGTGATTTACAAGCCTCAACCTGCATTGAATTTTTTTAATGGCTGTTTCTATTTCGCCCGTCGCGGGCGAACTAATTAATTTCTGTTATTTCGCCCGTCGCGGGCGAAATAGATACGACTGTGTGAACTGGCTATTTCGCCCGTCGAAATGAATGTGTTTTAGAAAACGGGCAAAATAAGAAAAATAGATTATTTCGCCCGTTCAAGAGAAAATCGAGTATCTGGAAGACGGGCGAGTATATTATTTCGTCCGTTAAGTATAGACAGCTGTTTTTTAGATAATGAGAAAAAATAATTTTACTTTTTTTAAATATAACAAATAAGATGCATAGAAAAAAGACGTCTGAGTATAGGTCTAATATTATTTATTTATATCTTTTGGAGTATTTGGTTTAATAAAATAGAAGAAATTTAAATAAAAAAAAAGTTCTTAAAAATTCTTAAAATTAATACTTAATTATTTTGTGTTTTTTTCAAAAAATTTTATTAATTAAAGTTTTGAGAATATTTGTAACATAAAATTTGTTTGTAATTATTAACTTAAAGATTTTTCAAATATTTATTTTACACGTTTTTGAGACGTGACTTTAAAGATCTTTAAATTTTGAGACGTGACTTTAAAGATCTTTAAAGTCACGTCTCAAAAACGTGTAAAATAAATATTTGAAAAATCTTTAAGTTAATAATTACAAACAAATTTTATGTTACAAATATTCTCAAAACTTTAATTAATAAAATTTTTTGAAAAAAACACAAAATAATTAAGTATTAATTTTAAGAATTTTTAAGAACTTTTTTTTTATTTAAATTTCTTCTATTTTATTAAACCAAATACTCCAAAAGATATAAATAAATAATATTAGACCTATACTCAGACGTCTTTTTTCTATGCATCTTATTTGTTATATTTAAAAAAAGTAAAATTATTTTTTCTCATTATCTAAAAAACAGCTGTCTATACTTAACGGACGAAATAATATACTCGCCCGTCTTCCAGATACTCGATTTTCTCTTGAACGGGCGAAATAATCTATTTTTCTTATTTTGCCCGTTTTCTAAAACACATTCATTTCGACGGGCGAAATAGCCAGTTCACACAGTCGTATCTATTTCGCCCGCGACGGGCGAAATAACAGAAATTAATTAGTTCGCCCGCGACGGGCGATATAGCCACTCCGTTTTTTAATATGACTTCTTAAACGGCAATTTTCAAAAATTAAGATTTATGTAAATTGTTTATAACCGCAGTTCAAATATAGTTTCTATATACTGAAACAAATTATTTGATTCAAAAGTAACAATTATTTGGTGAAAGTAAATATTTATAATATTTAAGTAAGCAATTATTTGAATCAAATACATTTTTTCCATCAGTTTAATGTAATATGGGAATTTAAAAAGATCAAAATATATTATGATGAAAATAAAAATAATAAATAATAAAAAAATAAATAAAAATAATAAAAAATAAAAAAAAATAAATAAATAAGATTAAAAAAATAATTATACCATAAAAATAATTAGTTAAAATTAAGAATTTTCATTTTTCGAAATAGCCTTTAACAGAATTTTTTTTAAACGAATTTTCTCTTAACAACATTTTTAGGTTATTTTTATTTGGCCAAAAGAAATTAAAGTACACTGAAAAAAAATTTATTTGACTCAAATATAATCGGTTGACCATTATCAAATAAATATTTATTTGTATTAAATAATTATTATTTGAGTGGTATTTGTTTCAA